GTACAGTTCTTTCATTCCAGGCTTTCCTAAATATGTGGAGTAGCCAGGTGACTCCAATTGCTCCACAAGCCTGTATTGCCTCGGCAGATATTCCATCAACACCTTATTTTTGGGACTGCATCTGATTGCTTCTCTGACTTCTTGTTCGATTATTGTATTTGTTTGCCCTCGATAATATTGGCCCATGATTCGGAGGCAATCCTAGTTTTGCCGCGATTTGTACCTTGGCAGGCACTCCGCATTTTACATAAACTCACACCCTGTTAGGGTATTTGTTTGGCGGCCATAATATGGGGACGAAGTTTGGAGGAGAGCCAAAATAATTGAGACCAGCTTTATTTGAACTATTGGAAGAACTGATTACTGATAATCACCATCCAACATTGTTAATAGTCAAATTGCCGTAGTAGTAGTATAAGTTATTACTCATATACTGTCCTCAAAGTGAAGAAATGCCAGCAGAAGATAAACTTTGTTTCATTATTTCATTCTTTTTCTAAAGAAGGAAGTATCGGTTTGGTTTACTGCAGAATGAAAATGACAGTCAAATTGTTTATTTAGTTAGTTATTGTTTCTGTTCAGTTAGTGGCACAGTCGTCAAATTGTTTATTTAGTTAGTTATTGTTTCTGTTCAGTTAGTGGCACAGTCGTCAAATTGTTTATTTAGTTAGTTATTGTTTCTGTTCAGTTAGTGGCACAGTCGTCAAATTGTTTATTTAGTTAGTTATTGTTTCTGTTCAGTTAGTGGCACAGTCGTCAAATTGTTTATTTAGTTAGTTATTGTTTCTGTTCAGTTAGTGGCACAGTCGTCAAATTGTTTATTTAGTTAGTTATTGTTTCTGTTCAGTTAGTGGCACAGTCGTCAAATTGTTTATTTAGTTAGTTATTGTTTCTGTTCAGTTAGTGGCACAGTCGTCAAATTGTTTATTTAGTTAGTTATTGTTTCTGTTCAGTTAGTGGCACAGTCGTCAAATTGTTTATTTAGTTAGTTATTGTTTCTGTTCAGTTAGTGGCACAGTCGTCAAATTGTTTATTTAGTAAGTTAATGTTTCTGTTCAGTTAGTGGCACAGTCGTCAAATTGTTTATTTAGTTAGTTATTGTTTCTGTTCAGTTAGTGGCACAGTCGTCAAATTGTTTATTTAGTTAGTTATTGTTTCTGTTCAGTTAGTGGCACAGTCGTCAAATTGTTTATTTAGTTAGTTATTGTTTCTGTTCAGTTAGTGGCACAGTCGTCAAATTGTTTATTTAGTTAGTTAATGTTTCTGTTCAGTTAGTGGCACAGTCGTCAAATTGTTTATTTAGTTAGTTATTGTTTCTGTTCAGTTAGTGGCACAGTGATTTAGGTCACAGCCATGTGGGAAAGGTAAGGCTGCTGTGATGTGTATAACGAGATACTCCCTACCTGACAGCAGGTGCCAGCCGGCTTTATGCTGATTTTACGGATCCTCGTGCAAGATTCCTGCCACAAGTCCCTGTAGTTTGCCATGGATAATCAAAATGGAAGGGCTCAAATGAGCATAAACCAAGCTGGCAGGGGATCTTGGAGTTGGTGGTCTCCAGAGGTATGTTGCAGAGAAATCCTTTGGCTATCATCTGCCCATCCCTAGTGCATGAGTAACAACGTTTATTAAACCTCATTTGAAACACGAGTAAAGCCTGCTAGCAAAATATACTACTAAATGACAATCCCAATTAAAACGTCTGTCGAGTGAAAGAACTATTAAACTGCTGAGACTCAGCCCTAGACTAAGATTCGCTCAAAGCTTAGACAAGCGACATCTTCTGCAAGCGGTATCTCATGGTACAGTTCTATGTCCATTCATCCTTTGTTGACCTTCAGTGTTATTTTCATGACCGCTTTGGAGTACACCGTGACAATCTGTCACTGTCAGTCCATTGATTATGCTCAAATATCCACCAGAAACATGCCAAAGAGCATAGTAAAGTCTTAATATCAATAAAAAATCCCACTGTTTGGCAGAAAGGTTCTGATGTCTATTACCATTGGTCAGTATCGGGACCAGATTTGGGAAGCCATGCCTGAAGCATGCTTTTCTGAACTATCATGCTAAGTGTCTAGATGAAACAGCTTTAAAGGGTGTCTAAAAAAGAAGAGTACATATTTGTGTGGTCATCAAAGTCTCAGACTGCAGGCTGCTGATCTCAGGAGGATGCAGCCTTGAACAAGTGTGCAAGCTCAACATACAGATGTGAGGTTAAGCACTCGTGTGCAGGACATGGCAATCATTTGGGTGAGCCCAGAACTAGAGCGCCATGTGTCGGCTCTGCATTGATGTGCCTCATTAGATGTTGAGGAATGTCCATGATCTGCCTCTGGCTTCCCTTGAGGGTGGACCAGTCTGCATGTGGTTGTCCTCGATGGGTTCTCTAGGGGCAACACCTATAGATAAGGGGGCAGAGAAAACTACACAGTTAAGTCCCATGAAACTATCCAGAAAGTTAACCAAGTCAACAAATGCTCGACGAAGTCAGATGTTTCAGTCGTAAGGCACAGATATGGCAGCTTTGCTTTAAACAGGCTCAACACAGTTACATCATTCGGACAAACAAAAAGAAGATTTCTGTTCAGTTATGGATTTTAGATAGACAGTTTATTTTACCGGACTGGGTCATTTCAGAATGTTTATAAACTTCCTCTAATCTAATGCTGTAGTGTAATAAACATGAGGCAAAATATAACCATAGAAAGGCACATATGGATGTATCATATCACACACATTAAATGTTTGAGTTTGTCACAGGGTCTGTTTACAAAAAGATCTGTAGTCTCCTGGTTTCGGGCAGTTGCATGAGATTGGGCTCTCGCCAGGTAATATTCTCAGAGACAGCGGTGGATGCATTGTAGCCAACTGTAGGTGAGGAAACATTATTTTGTTGAATTTAAAGAAAAAAGAAATACTGATATCCTTAAAGATCTGAACATCAAGGAAGATTAACTAGTAAACAACGTCTTTTCTTATAAAAGTAAAATATTTTGGCAATATCAAGCGTTATGATGAATTAAAAAAAAAAGAAAAATCTGAAGACGTGGGCCAAGGAAAAAGTAATTGGGGTTGACCAGCACAAAGTTAGGTACAGGATATAAGTGATATCTTGGGTAAGAAAGTGCACGAGGCGGAAGAGATGGCGAGAGACTGAGTTTCTTACAGGCAGACTGATGAGAGGGGCAGGTGCTGTAAAGAACCTGCTACGGAATGATGTAAAAAGTTTGTCAAGCTCGCATGTGAAGGGTGGCAGTCTCTGTGTTACACTAAACTGCTGGTTGTGCATCGACTGGAAAAAGTAAGGACCAGGTTAAAAAAATGTTTTTAACTACTAAAGAGCTCTTCTTTCGTGAGGAGACAATTTCAGCTTGAACAATAATACGGCCAACAAGTAGCTCATCGTACTGATGATGTACTGGTCATAGAAAGTCACAGGCTGATCTGTGTGTCACACCTGTCAGCTGTTGAAAACAAGAGTAGACCCAAGTGCGTGTCAGGAGTGGAACAGAAATTACTTTTTGATTCTGTAAGGGAGGTTTGGTAATTCTTCTTTTTCTTCACGTACTCCGGCGGAAAGTTCTGGTTGCTTGTCCACCTCTGCACATTAGTCCTGTTCCAGAACCTGAATGTTGTGTGCACATCCATTTTACAGATCTGACTTAATTGTATGCAGATTGTTGCTTCCTTGCCTCTCAGGCAGATCCTCTCCAACTTGGATAAATGTTTTGTTATTTAAACAGTATTTTAACCCCCAGTTTATTGTGTATAATGAAGATGATGTTGACTGAATCTTCTTCTTACAGCCCATGCTGTGGGGCAGAGGTAGTCGTGCCTATCCACAGCCATCTGTTTCATGTGCTTTCACTCATTTCTGATACAGATTATCTTCCATGCCATGATGTCAGACTGTCCATTATCTTTTATTTCATTTTCCCTCTGCATCTTTGCCCCTCCAATTTTCCCACTGTCATAATGTACTCTAGTTTTCCTTTTCTTTTGCCATGTTCAAAGAATGTAGATTGTCTCCTGATGTGGGCAATCAATTTACAGAATATGTTTATCATTTCAAATCATTTGGTCTCGCTGTTCCAAAGTAGTTGAGAATTTGAACAAATATTGCAGCTTAATGTTCCCATTTGATAATCTTATATGGCCCAGAATGATGTTATAAATATCTACATTTGGCTGGAATAAGTTTTACCACCCCTGCTCTTATTCAACACATATTGCATTTTCTGTTTTCAGAGATTGGCGAGTCTCAGCACAGATCAAGCAAAATGGCTTCTGCTGCGTGCTTGTTTCTCTTGAACCTGTCCTTGCCAGGAGGATGACTCATGGAGGGTATAACCATTTCAGAGTACGACAGACAGTATAAGTGCTTGATGAAGATAGACTCACACATTTACCGAGAGTTTTCTCACTGTTACAAGTCAGTCCAGAAACTAAGTGCCTTGGATACAGTGAACTTGCCTAAATAATTGTCTCCATGCAGTCTTCTGCCACAGCAGAGGGGAAATAATCAAAAATCCACAATGAAGATGTATCATTTGCCAGTGTTCAAGTTTGTCCTGCTACTGCTGGTTCTGCTGGTGTGCCTGTCCTTCATGGCTCACCAGTACATATCCAACATGGTGAATTCTGACACACAGCCTCCTTCACACAGAACCAGGCGAATTGAAGGTTACAGTGATGCAGAGTTAGATCCAAACCCTAGACCCATCTCGGCCTACCAGCATGAGATCGAAGAGCTCCGCCACATTAAAGCATCAGTTAATAATGAACTGAGGGACTTGGAAAACAGAAGACTGAAACTGCAGTCGGAAATCTCCAGCTATTTAAACAGCATTGACAACTTAAAAGCTCAGCATGCTTCTCTCTCCAAGGAAGTAGGTCAGATCAAGCTAGCATTGGAGCAGCTGAAGTTTGAGCAAGAGGAAACACGAGCTTACATCCCGAGCATTAGAGCACCACACAGAATTATCAGTGACGTTGACATGGAAGAGAAGTTACCAATGCCTTCCTCGTCTCACTCATGTCAGATGGAAAACTGCTTTGACTTCTCACGATGTTCGTTGGTATCTGGGTTTCCTGTGTACATATATAATCCTTCACAGTACTTCCTTGGTCGGAGCCCCGTCCATGAAACAACAATTACGGCCTTCGTTGAGTACTTCCAGCAGAGTGCTTATCAGACAACGGATGCTACTAAAGCTTGCATATTTATTTTTCTTATGGGGGACTCGAGAGAACCAAATTCCTTAAAACCTTTAGAAATAGAAGATTTTCTCTCAGGGCTGCCCTACTGGGGTGGTGATGGTCGCAACCATGTTTTACTGACGCTGGCGTCATCTGCCAAGAATGATGACATTTTCCGTGGTGTAAATACAGGCAGGGCTATGTTGGCTCAATCAGCATTTACAGACAGTGTTTTCAGACATATGTTTGATGTACTGATCCCACCAAACTTGGGGCCTAGAAAGACAGATGACATCTGGAAAGAAATACCCATGTTATCTCCTCTTAGAAAGAAATATCTCCTTCATTACTGGGGTCAGTTTGTGCCACCAGAGAAGTCCTCTGCGCAGCACTCAGGTGAGAAAGATCAGTCCAGGAGAAGAGAGCAAGTTTATATTAACAGCCCACAATCTCATCTGCGTAAACCATTAGCAGCGATAGATCCAGCCATGACAATCTTATCATCCCAGTCCCTTTATTCTCACATTGAACAAGCCATTGTGTCATCCCTGAAGAATGTCCAGTCTTCTCACCAGAGCCAGATTTTTGTGGATTTCTCTTGCAATCAGCTCAGTAATCTGACATTTATCCCTGCTGACTGGGCTCTGTGTGGCACTGAATCTGCCAGGAAGGACAGAATTATCCAGTCCACCTTCTCGCTTATAATCGCTCCTCTGAACATGTCCATCGATTCCACAACAGCATTCCAAACGCGAGTGTATGAAGCACTCAAACAAGGCTCAATTCCGGTTGTTTTAGGATCTCATGAACTGTTGCCTTATTCTGAAGTTCTCCGCTGGCACTCTGCAGCCATTTTGTTGCCAACTCCAAGAGTCACAGAGATTCCATTCTACCTGCAGTCTTTCCCGGATGAAGGCATCTCAGCACTCCGTCTTCAGGGTCGTTTGTTTTTCCAAACTTACTTCAGTTCAACTCATTCTGTTTTAGACACATTGCTGGCAGTCATTCGTACAAGACTCCAGATTCCTGCCAAACCAGTGCCTGAAGAACCATCACCAAGTATTTTCCCAGCTTCTTTTCACCCACTGAAATATGAAGGACCTGATCCAGAGCCAGAGAGTGATGAAGTGCTGGGTCCTGTTGAGACCCCATTTCCTTCAGAGACTTACAGGCACAACTTTTCTCTCCCTGTGCTGATGGATACATTCAACAACCCTGGTGATCCATTCAACTTGTATCCCATGACACCATTTCAGCCCTGGCTGCCATCAGAGGCCAAGTTTAAAGGTAATGTCTTGTCTCTTGAGTCTTGTGTCTTGTCTCTTGAGTCTTGTGTCTTGTCTCTTGAGTCTTGTTTCTTGAGTCTTGTGTCTTGAGTCTTGTCTCTTGAGTCTTGTGTCTTGTCTCTTGAGTCTTGTGTCTTGTCTCTTGAGTCTTGTGTCTTGTCTCTTGAGTCTTGTGTCTTGTCTCTTGAGTCTTGTCTGGCATTGCTGCGGCTTAGTTTGGCTAAATGCAAAAGAAAGAAAATAGAAAGAACAGGTGTCTATTATGGTTAATTTCACAATCATTGTCTGCGCAGATAAATAGATAGTCTGGTTTGCCGATTCTAGAACACGCAACATATAATTGTGTCTTTATATTAGTGGTTGTGTGTATTATTAGGACCCCCCCACCCCAAAAAAAAATGTTATTTCTCTGTCACATGCTAAAGCTGTTTGTATTTGTTAAAGAGCTCAAAGTAAAGCTTACTACTGTACTTCAAAATAACCAACAAATTTGCAATAAACAAATCGATATAAATAAAAATGAGAATAGCTGATGTAACGTTAGTAAAATAAAAAAAAATTAAGAAATGAAAACTTTTAAATCATATTTTAAGCTCTTTCTCAGTTAATAGTTTCTTTCATCGCTTCTTCCCTCCCCTTCACCACCCAATCCACTTACTACTTCTCTGTCCATCTCCGAAGGATTTGAAATCCATCACCTTACGAATTTTTTTGTAATTTACCTTGGCATCCGTGTCCACCCAGACTAAAATGGGTAGCAGGAATGGTAATGAGAGGTAAGTGCAGCCAGTGTAATATTTACCATATTACCCATCAAGTACCAGTACAGCTACTACTACAACAACTAAAATAATGTCACTACTGTTTGTTTTACCACCTTTCTAGGTTGGTGTAGACAGGAGGTCCTGAGCCAGAGAAATTAGCGCAGCATTGCGGTTACTGTGACAGCAAGCTCTCTTAGTTAACAGTGTCTATCATCACCCCCTTCCTCCCCCCCCCCCCACCCCCACCCCAAGCCACCATCTACTTCTCTCTCCCTTACCGAAGTAGTGGAAAAAAAATTTACGAAGTGAAAAGCAACAAAATAAAAAATACACTATACTCACAAAATGATTGATTGATTTAATTTGATTTGATTCAAGAACCGACATCACAGCACTTGGGGCATTCCCATAAGTGCTCCGTCCCCATCTTCAGCAGCCAGTGAAGAGTTCCGATACCAATGGTGCCAGTAGCATTCTGATTAATCGTCCGTCTTGCCTTTCCTCTGAGCCTCGAGCATCTGCTAGAACCTCTCGTCCTTCCCCGCTGCATCAATCTCACCAGACTGTGATGATCCATCTGCTCCTCTGAACTGGACACGCTCTCCCACAAGGCACTAACCACGTCTGCCTTATCATGTATCTGTATTCCACCAAGTTGTGCAGAGCCAGCCAGTCTGTCCGCCTGTTCATTTCCCAACACACCGGTGTGCCCCGGTGAAAAAATCCATACAATACTCCTCACTCGTCCGCAGCGAAGCATGCCACTCTGCATGAAGCATACCTATTCTGATCTTCCTCAGCATGCTTTCTGAATAAAAAAATGAAGGCTATGGTAATTGACACAACTCAATTCCATGTTTGTATGACATGCAACAATGAAATCAAAATGAAAATTCAATGTAACCATGCAATCGGAAACAATGAAATGAAATCGTTGTATGACGATTATGTGATCGCAATGTCATGCGCAATGGCAGTGCGCCATTTCATTCGCATACATTCTGTCAACAACTGTCTTTATATTTCCAAAACTTTTAATTTCAACTTGTTTATATTTCCACACCTTACTTACTTACTAAGTCGCTCCTCTTCTACCTTGGGGTGTAGAGGTTTGCCAGAAAGATCGCCAGACGTCTCTATCAGCATTTTTCTCTCTGGCTTTGTTCCATTCCAGTCTTCTGTCAATCAGGGACTGCCGGATGTTGTCTTCCCAGCACCCTGGGTTGCCCTGGAGGTCTGGTTCCCTGGTTCTTAGCCTCCCATGCCTGCCATGGTGGTTGATTTTCCCTCAATCTATATACATGTCCAAACCATCGTAACTGTGACTGATCCACTCGGGTTTGTAAGAACTGGGTATCAAGATCTTGACGTATTGTCTGATTGTGGACTTTGTCTCTTCTTGTCACTTGTACCACCTTTCTCAGATGTCTCATTTCTGAGGCCTGCAGCTGGCTTAACTTTTCATTCCAACTTGTTTATATTCCCACACCTTGAAATGTCCATACATTCTGTCAACAACTGGTTGTTCAATTTCCATACATTCTGTCAACAACTGGTTGTTCAATTTTCTTGTATTCTGTCAACAACTGGTTGTTCAATTTCCATACATTCTGTCAACAACTGGTTGTTCAATTTCCATACATTCTGTCAACAACTGGTTGTTCAATTTCCATACATTCTGTCAACAACTGGTTATCAATTTATTATGTGCAATCTGATGTCAACAGTCAAAGCTCACGGAAACAAAAACCCAAGCCGGCAGCATGGCAACGAGAAAAAAAAGATCCTGATGTGATCGTCGATGGAGCTATATGAGTTATGAGTTAGATTATCTACACAGCACTTCGGACACATCCATAGGCGCTCAGATTCCCCTCTCAACATATTCATCAGCATCGTGCGGTTAATAGTACCAGTCCTATGTTGGTTAACAATACTTTGTGTGCGTCCAGTGTGCTTCTCATGCTTGGCCGTGCCGATCTTTACTCCCAATTTGTGTATTCTTAGAAGTGATGGGGACACGTTGCTTCCAAAATCCTCAGAACGTCCTATCTCTCTAAGGGGAATGACAATGTCTGCGTGATCCATGGGCCGGCCATCTTCAATTAATGAATTTAATGCAGTACCTGCCAGTCTATCAGCTCTCTCATTACCAGCAACACCTGCATTCCCTGGGACGAATATGAAAGTAACTGCACACACAGGAGAATTTTGCAATGACTCAAGCCACTGTCTGCGTAACCAGCCTGCTTCGACCCGCTGAAACATACTCAAAAAATCACTCAGCACGCACACGCGGGAATAGTCCTGTGATCCCAGCCACATGAAAGCCTGTGTCACTGCCATCACCTCCATCGTCATGCTGCTGGTGGTCATGGAGAAGGCACCGCTGGCTTCCTTAACTTTTTTGCCTGAAGAGCAAGCTGTAAATGCCCATGCACTCTTATGTCCTCGTATAACGGACCCGTCTGTGAAGATCACCACATCTGTCTCATCTGACTTGTCACTGATAAGCGTGCATATCTCGGCATTGACAGCAGCTGGATTCTGCTCCCGACAACTCCTATCAAGCGTCACGACACAGGAGAATGTGAGATCGGACGCTTTAGACTGGTATCCACTCCTCACCTGGATGGATGTCTGTAAGGCTGTAAACCTGCCTGATGTCATCCTCTGCCCTACCCAGCCATGATTTGCCCCTTTTAAGCCTATTGACCTGTTTCTTGAAGAGCGTGTGGTGCAAAGGGTGCTTCAGATCTGAGCTTATCTTGAGGTATGCACGAGCCTTCAGATCTTGATCCTGTAGCTCATGGTAGGAAAGTCAGAAGGTACCTCATTGCTTCACAAGAGGTGTCTCCAGTGCACCCTAAAAAAATGCGCATTGCTTCATTTTGCATCTTCTCAAGTCTTTCAATCTGAGTATGGCTGACAGTGAGGATGGTAAGAGCATATTTGATGGGAGAAAGTACAAGTCCCTGGAACAGAAGCAGAAGCAGTCTCTGCTCAGTGTTAGCGGCAGCCAGGACCCTCATTGTTGGCAGGCCTTTGAGTGCTTTTGTTATGACATGGTCAACATGTTCTTTGAAGCATAGGCTGCGATCAAACCTCACTCCAAGGTATGTCATCAGATTTTTTCTCATCAAAATTTCCGCACTACTTTCCGCTGCTGGTAAGTCTACCTTCACTATATGCGTGTTCAAGGAGAACCACGTTACTGAGGCCTTCGCAGGGTTGACATGAGCATTAGAATCTGCACACCAGGAGGAGATGCGATTTATTTCACTCTGCACTGACTTGGCAATCTCCTGACGATCTCTTCCATGTCAATATACTAAGAGGAGCTTTATATTTTATGCTTTGTGTGAAAATAATAAATTAAAAACCGCACATATTTGAATGCAACGTTGTATCAAAATTTGTAAGCAATCGATGAAGAACTTTTGTGCTATTGTGCACAAATGGACTTGTTACATTTTTATTCATGTAGGTTTATCATATTTTCCCCATTATTCAAATATATTTATCTATTATTTATCACAAAATCTAGTAGATTCTAACAAATGAAGTAAGGTTCAGAAGTCATGGTTTCTTTAGCTCCATCTTGGTTTGCCGTATGGCCCACATGAGTTTCCTCATTAACCCCTTCCCCTGGCCTCACCCATTACTATGCTTTGTGACAAGAAAGTGTTTGATATAGGTTTTGTTTGATATAGGTTTCCATTATTTTCTTTAATGTTAACTTCATATCTTTTACAGGAATTCACAGACCAACCCCAGCATTTGTTGGGTTTTTGTTGTTTTACTAGTCAGTTGTTTTTTAAATGTATCTTTGTTAATTTGCCATTGCTTATTTAATGGTCCCCTCCTGTGGGTTCCAGGACCCCATTTTGGGGTAACAAAAATAGACCCACTGGCCTCCTTAATAAGCATGTCTCAAAAGTAAACTAACTAGGAGTGTTTTCTTCGGAGTTGAGTGTTATCTACCTGGCAGGTGAGCAACCAGTAGTCTGCTCACAAATAAGCCAGATCTGTAAAATGGATGTGCACTCAAAACTCAAGTTCTGGAACAGAACAGAGTCCAGAAGTGGACAGACGGCCACAACTTTCTGCCAGCGTTTACCACCATTTTTCCCAGAACTCAGTGAATTAATTTGCGCAATCTAATTCTTGTTGAATGCAATTAATTATTACATGTGCATCTGCATGCAAAGATTCATTGACTGGTGCTGGCAAAGAATAAAGGGAAGTGAATGTTGTGACAAAATTACTAGTGTAGAGCTTTCGGGAGAGAACAGAGTAAATTTCAGTGAATCAGGAGTTGAGGAAATGATGCTGTTGTTGAATAGGACACACACTGAGAAAGTCTGTCAGTAATATAAATTGAATATTCTCATACTGGAACCTACGGAGTCAAAAGGAATAAAGGCAGACCAAAAAACAATACACAGTGAAATGGTTGAGAGGACATGAATGAGCTGCACACTGTGGTAAAGGTTAGGAATTTTTGGCGGGGATTGATTGAGGGGCTAAATTTTATTTAGGGATTACGGGTAGAAGAATAACATAAAGGTGCACACAAATATTACATGCACTTTCTGTCATGATTGCCTTACCTACCCTCATGCAATAATTATGTTCCTTTTATGTCAGGTGTCATGCCTTGATGTTTTGTAACAGAGAATCTGTTGTCTTACTTGATTGCCTTACCTGCTGTCATGCAATAATTATGTTCCTTTTATGTCAGGTGTCATGCCTCGATTTTTTTTGTAACAAAGTTTCTGTTGTCTTACTTGATTGCCTTACCTGCCGTCATGCAATAATTATGTTCCTTTTATGTCAGGTGTCATGCCTCAATGTTTTTGTAACAAAGTTTCTGTTGCCTTACTTAGTCGCTGCTCTTCTACCTTGGGGTAGAGATCGCCAGACGTCTCTGTCAGCAGTTTTCTTTCTGGCTCTGTTCCATTCCAGTCTTCTGTAAGTCAGGTACTGTCATATGTCATCTTCCCAGCAGATCCTGGGTCGCCCTGGAGGTCTGGTCCATGCTTGCCATGGTGCCCAATTTTTCTGCAATTCTCCGTACTTGTCCAAACTGTCATAACTGTGACTGATCCACTCGAGTTTGTGAGGCCTGGGTTTCAAGATCTTGATGTATTTTCTGATTACGAACTTTGTCCCTTTTTTCACTTGGACCTCCTACCTTTCTCAGATTTCTCATTTCTGAGGCCTGAAGCTAAAGAATCTGTTGTCATGTGATGTTTACCTCATGCCAGTCTTTGACATTTGCTCACATCCTCAGGATCTGGCTATGGTTTCCGTCCCGTTGCCAAAGGAGCAGGTGGTGATGGCAAAGATTTTAGTGAGGCCCTTGGAGGCAACATGCCAAGGGAACAGTTTACAAGTAAGTTCTGCTTCATAGCCTGGTCTTCTGTCCTATAGCCTGGTCTTCTGTCCTATAGCCTGGTTTTCTATCCCATTTCTATTTGTCTCTGTTGACATTAACTCAGACACGTGCGGGGGGAGGAGGGGGGGGGGGGGAATACAAATCCTTGAAAAATAAACTTTTTATCTACAGGAAGTCTTCGGTGACCTTTCTATTGATGACAACAACTTTTTTGTGCTAGATATAGATATTGTGACCTACTGTCTACTCTGACTGCTGGCTACTTTAATGTTCAGGTCGTGAATAAAGTCATTTTTGTTTTGTTTACTGTCAAGCTCAGGCTACTTTCACATAACATAAATGTACATTAAACATTTAATTTGTGACGACCATTGTCTTTCATTAAAAAAATCATACATACAGCTGTCATTCTAGCTAATCAGCATCATTTGCATATTTATCCATTGTATTTAGATATGTTGGGAAAGGAACAGCAGATAGATTGGCTGGTTCTGCATCCCGATGGTAAATTGATGCATCCTAGATGTTGTCAAGGCCTTTGGAAGCAAGTGAACAGTGCAGAAACACAAATCTGACAAGGATGGTTCACCAGGGAGTGCTCAGCGGATCTCATGGACCCTCAATTCAGGGCTAAGGCAAGATCAATGTAACATCAGATTTGTGCTGGTACCACTGGAATTGGAACTCTACTCTGGCTGCTGAAGATAGGGACGGTGCTTATAGAAATATCCAGTGTGCTGTCAGTTCTTAACTCACATAAAACTGTATACCCTCAACCACAGATGTTTACATGCAAGAAATAAGTGACATTTCTGCTGTCCCCAGTTGTGCTGCTGACCTATGACAGGGAGGTGGTTCTCATGCAAGCCCTGCACAGGTTCAAAGGCTTGCCCTTTCTCAACAAAGTGGTGGTGGTTTGGAACGCTGCAGTGCCACCATCAGCTGATCTACGCTGGCCAGATATTGGAGTGCCTATCAAGGTGAAGAGATGTCATATTTTTCTATTGCTAACCGAAACTCAACTTGGCTCCCATAACAGATGCAGGGAACATGTCCACCTTCAAAACAGGGGGCTGCCATTGTTTGAAGGCAACATATTTGGATCCTGCTTTGTCTGTTGCTTTTATGTTTTGAGTTGATTGCTAGTTTATTTGATCCAAATGCAAAAAAGAGTAGTCTGCATCAAGTGATAAGACATATCAGATACATAACATGGAACTTTTGTCCAGGATATTCATGTGTACGAGGTAATGAGCAGACTGATAGATTGGCTGCTGTCACCGATCTTGGCAGTGAGCTACTTTATAATAAAGCAGATGTGAAGTGAAGGCTGTGGGAGCAAGTGAACAGTGCAACAGAACTGGGTTAGGGGGGGGCGGGGTAAGCACAGGTTCTGAATAATATTCAATGTTGAGAAGGAAACAAAGGTGGACTATATATTAGGAGGCAGCTGGCACTGTTACCATGGAAACTCTTTGTTGGCTACTGAAGAAGGAGATGGAGCACAAGTGGTAATGACCTGAGTGCAGCGATGTCTATTCTTCATTCATACATTCTCTTGTGACTAATTCTTTTCTTTCCTCATTGTATGCACCTGTCATTACTTTTATTTCCCTCACCCAATGGTCCGGTCTTGGTCAGATATGAGCTACCGTATAACAGTAGCTGCTGTATGCTTTCACATAGCTGGATCCAGTGGTTGTCGGCACACTGCCTAACTACCTTTTGTAAATGATTTCTAGCTGCTCTTATTTCAATGAGAGTGTTCCTTGTTGTTTTTTTCTTGTTTCTGAGGAGTATTGCCTTTTTGCTGTCAATTAAAGGTTGGAGTGTCTAGCTATTTGCTTCAAACCAGTCCTTACTTCTATTTTCTCTGATCCCATAGACTGATACAGCTGTTTTGTAAACAGTCTCCCTAATTTCATCCCATTTTAGGCTTGCTGTAGAGTTATCCTAGATATCAGTGAAAGCATCGTCAAGCTGTTGTTGAAATTCAAAACACTTTTCAGGGTCTTTAGTTTTGGAAATATTTAACCTAGGGATGTGAAGCAGGGGTGTGTACTTGCTCCTACCCTCTTTGGAATATACTTTTCACTTTTTTGACACATGCCTTTCGAGATCAGGAGGGTGGTATTTTCATTTATTCTTGATCTGACGGCAGCCTTTACAATGCTCGCAAGCTGAAGGACAAAACCAGGATAAGAAAGGTACTTATCAGAGAGCTGCTGTTTGCAGATGATGCCGCAATAACCACCCACTCAGAGGAGGAGCTGCAATGTTTACTTCTGCCTTTGCTGATGTGTGCTGTGACTTTGGACTAACAGTCAGCAAAAAGAAGACAAAGGTTATAGTGCAAGGTGTCAATGACAGACCTAGTCTACATTGACGGTGAAGAGCTTGAGACAGTAGACCATTTTACCTATATGGGTTCCACAGTGAATAGTTAACTATCGCTGGACCAAGAAACCAACATCAGGATAGGTAAGGCAGCAACAACAATGAGCAGGTTGACAAAGAGTTTGGGAGAACAGAAAGCTCACAATTAAAACAAAAACCCTTGTCTATCAGGTTTGTGTTCTCAGCACTCTGCTTTATGGCAGTGAAACTTGATCAACCTATTCGCACCAGGAGAGACGGCTTAATAGCTTTCACATGCGATGCCTAAGAAGAATACTTGACATTAAGTGGCAGGATTAAATCACAAACACTGAGTTACTGGACAGAGCAGGTAATTTCCATGCTCAGTCTACGAAGGCTCAGGTGGCTGGGTCACACCTGGAGAATGGAGGATGGCAGAGTCCCTAAGGACATCCTTTATGATGAATTAAAGACAGGAAGAAGATGTCGAGTCCGACCTCTACTACGTTATAAAGATGGGTGCAAGCGGGACATAAAGGATACAGGTATTGAGGCGGACTCGTGGGAACAAAATACCATGGACCGTGTTGTGGGCTGTGAGTCTCATGCCTCCTCATAGCGCAATATATCACTATCGTCTGGAAAGATGGAAAGGTGCCAATGATGAATGATGATGAATGATTTCCCTCACCCTAGAAGTTCTTGACTGTTTCGACTGATGATGTGATGTCGGTGCATTAATATTTCCAGATTCTACAGAAAGACTGGATACATGAAAAAAAAAAAAAAGTTAAGGACCCTTCTCCACGCCTTTAGGCGTATAGGGCATATAGGGCTAGACCTATATTTTTATAGACCAATCGGCACAAGATGGGTGATGTGGTCAGCATCACGCCAGCCGCCTTTACTTTCCCGGGACTGCACCCGGTACCAACTCAAGGCTGGGTCGACCTGGGAGCCAAGGTCATTTTTCTGGATACATGAGTTATGAAAAATATGTGATATTAGTTTGTGTGGATATAGAATGATACTCCTGAGATTGAAGAAGTCATTGTGTTTAGAAGAAGACTATTTCTTGTGATTAGATCTCTTTGTGCAGCATGAGACTATTTAGAATAGTGGCTCTCAACCTTCCCAACGCGGCGACCCTTTAATAAATTTCCTAGGGTTGTGGAGACCCCCCAACCATACAATTATTTTTGGTTCTACTTCATAACTTCAGTCCCCCGTGTGGGTTCCGGGGCCCCATTGTGGGGAAAACAAGAATAGACTAAATGGGGTGCTTCCTTAGAAGTCGAAGTGCATCTGTCGGAGAGGCAAGAAACCAACAGTCTGTATTCAAGAGAATGAGATCTGTAAAACTGATGCACACGCAACACTCAGGTTCTGGAGCAGGACTGCAGTTCAGTAGTGGACGAGCAACCAGAACTTTCCGCCAGAGTGTACAGCTGGTGAACGCGAAGAAGAAGAAGAAGAAGAAAACTTCAGTGAATATGGGTTTTCCAATGGTCTTTGGTGACCCCTGTGAAAGGGTAATTTGATGCACAAAAGGGTCGCGACCCACAGGTTGAGAACCGCTGATTTAGAATAAGTCTCTTTGTTTAGAACAAGACTGTTTGTATAGAATTACTCTCTTTGTTTAGAACAAGACTGTTGGTATAGAATGAGTCTCTTTGTACAGAGTGAGAGTTTGTATGTGTGTATAGAATGAGATGTCTTGTGTTTGTGTAGCCAGGTGGTTAAGTCGCGTTGCTTGCACTCTGAAGGTTGTGGGTTCAGGCACAGACACTCTGAAGACATTCTGAGGTCTGTGGAGGGGAGAGGGGTGATTAGTAGCTGAAGCTGTGGACTTTGTACTTTAAGACACTTTCAGCAGGCAAATAAAAACTCTGTGGAGAAGACAAATTCTTGTGGGATACTTCTTCACTGGCTGTAAACTCTAATGGAAAGTTTTAGCTGTTTGTCCACTTCTGGTTTTTAGTCTTGTTCCAAAATTAAAATTTTGTGTACACATCTGTTTTACAGATATGGCTGATTTGTGTGCAGACTTTTGGTTCCTCACCTCTTAGGCAGATGTGCTTTCTGTCTTTTGAGGAAACATCCCTAATTCGCAGCTTTATGTGACATGTTTGTTAAGGAGGCAGTGAGTTTGTTCTTTTCTCTCGAGATGGTGCCCCAGAACCCACATAGGGACCACCTTTATGTCTGCTAATAGAACCCTCTTGATATAGTATGTATAGCTTCCAGGGCCTCAGTGGAGAAAACAAGAATAGACCCATTGCCTCACCAAGCATGTTGTAAGTTGACTAACTGGGGGCTTCCTTCAAAGTCGGAGTGCATCTGCTGGAGAGGCAAGGAACCAACAATCTGCATACAGAAAGATAAGTCAGATCTGTAAAACGGATGTGCATGCAGCACTCCCGTTCTGGAACAAGACTTAAGTGCAGAGGTGGACTAACGACCAGAAAGTTTTGCTGGAATTTACAGGCATTGAATGTGAGGAAGAAAAAGAAGTATGTATGTCTTATATTAGAACTCGTTATACTCATTCAAGTTCCTTTTCAGGTTATAAAAACGAGTAAAAACAGCTTGAACAACCGGTTTCTGCCGTACTCTGTGATTGAAACTGAGGCTATTCTCAGTATTGATGATGATGCTCATTTACGGCATGATGAGATTGTCTTTGGCTTCAGGTAATTATGCTGTCCAACTGTCCCTGTTTCTCTTTGCTGAACATTGTCTAGTGTCCCTATATTTCTCTTATCTTGTGAGGTCTAGAAAAAGGACTCATTATACTGCTGCTTATTCAAAAAATGTGTTTATTGTCCTTATCCACTCCTGAGTGTTTCCACTCCTGTGTGTATCATCTCTGCCCACTCCTAAGTGCTTCTACTCCTGGGTGTATCATCTCTGCCCACTCCTGACTGCTCCTACTCCTGGGTGTATCATCTATGCCCACTCCTGGGTGTATCATCTATGCCCACTCCTAAGTGCTTCCACTTCTGTATGTATCATCTCTGCTCACACCTGAGTGCTTCCACTCCTGGATGTATCATCTCTGCTCACTCCTTCGTGTATATTTCTTTGTTATTCTAGAGTGTTTTGACTGCTTTCACTCCTCTATGTATAATCCCTCTCTGCTCCTGAGTGTTTCAACTCCCTCCGCTCCTGGGTCTCTGTCATCTGTGTCCACTTTTGAGTGTTCTGACTACTTCCACTACTACTGCATGTATTGTCTATTCCCACTCCTGAATACAACATTTCCAATCACTCCTGGACCATTTCTAATTACCATATCACCATCACACACAGACAACGACCACTTGTAATGTATACTGTTTATTTTCTCAGAGTGTGGAGAGAAGAGAGAGCCAGGATTGTTGGTTTCCCTGGCCGTTTCCACGCCTGGGATGTCAAACATCAGTCGTGGAACTACAACTCCAACTACTCCTGCGAGTTGTCCATGGTGCTTACTGGTGCTGCTTTCTTCCACAAGGTGAGCAGCTGCTTGTCATTGGTGCACATCCTAGGGCTCAACTAATCTTCTTCTTTTACGTTCACCGGCTGTAAACTCAGGCGGAAATTTCTATTTGTTTGTCCACTTCTGGTCTCTAGTCCTGTTCCAGAAACTATGTGTTGTGTGCACATCTATTTTACAGGTCTGACTCATTTGCATGCATACTGTTAGTTCCTTGCCTCTCAGGCAGATTAACTCCAACTTTGAAGGAAGCTCCGAATTAGTCGACTCTTACAACATGCTTTTGGGCAGGTTTTTTCCCCGGGAACCCACACGGGCAGCTCAGCTAATTTATGCTGACCAAGGACAAAATATTATCTCTTGGCATCACAAGAAGATAACCATTCAAATATTTGTTACTTGTCTGTAATCATCATCATGTGCTTTGCCCGTAAGAATAGACTGTCGTGTTTCGTCATCTCACAATATCACCAAATTCACGGATCAGTTTACTTATTTTCGTCTCTCTCCATTCATCTCGTCAGGCCATCCAGATATTTATCTATTTGCTTTTTTTCTTACTCTGTTTCCTTCAAACTTTCTAGTTGTTAGCAAGTTCTCAAGTGCATTCTTCCTCAGGTGTACAGAAAATATTGACCCACCGTCTGCATCTAATTGCTCTGTATTGATGATGTTTCTGAGCAGCCACATTTCTTCTTCAGTGCATGTGTGTAAGTGTATGGCCTAATTATCTGTATATGTCATTGTTGACATATAACACATTGCAAATGATCTCCATTGTTGTCGGTCTGCCGTCTGTCTACCCACGGTATCCAGTGTTAGTTTACATTCTTTTATTTCCCTTTCTATTGCCTGTCTCCAAGTTTCCATCGGTCATCCATGTTCCCTTTTTCCACTCTGCTATCCACCGGGACCTTTGCATGTCAAAGAATCGCAAGGCATTCTGCATACAAGCCATCTTAGTCTTCTTCCTTTGATAATGTTTGCCTTTTGTTTTTCCTCCTTGGTTCTTTATTTGTGATCTTGTTTGGCCACACTATTCATGGGATTCTCTGTAGACATTTATTTTGAAAGTCACTGATTAATAAGGATTATCATCACAGTAATCCGGACTGTCCATGGGTGCCTTGATCTGCTCCTTAAAAGCTCTGTAAGTGTGAAACGACTGATGACGCCTGTTCTTTGTTAATTGATCAGACGTCTTGACCCCTTAGTGAAATGTTCATTTCTTGAGCTTCAGGCTGCACCCCCATGTCAATAAGTCTAGACAGGGATATAGAGTCCTGCTGTTTAGCATGCTTGTCGCCACGGTAAGTGCTGTGCACGGCATCGATAACATCGTCTCTGTACAGGACCAGCCAAAGCAACCGCAGTGTCTGCAAGATAATCTACACAGTATTTATCTGCGGTTCCTGCTGTCGTTTAAATTCAGATTAGATCATAAAAGCTGTTGGCACCTTTTTGTCTTCCAGACGGTAATATTTCATTGTGTTCTAGGGAGCATCATAGCATAAGGCTTCTCGTAGAGACCCTGTGCTGCCCATGCAGTATGATCCCTCTCACTGACTGCTTTGTTAACCCCAAAGAAAAGTTAATACCACTATGTTTGCAGTATAGCAGGCTACACAAGCTGCCAGGTCAGAAAAGTAGTGCTTTCTGTCTCTCTCTGTCCTAGTGCCTGACCTGCCTCCTAGACCAGCTGCCAGCCAAGGCTAAGGGCTGGTCCGCCCTGCCATAACATCCAGTTTTCAGGCTGCATTTCCTCCAGTATGCTGCACATCTTAAAATCCGTTGAGACAAGTTGATATCAGATATGGTGTACACTGCCAGTTGTTTAGTGTTAACAGAGAACAGGAGTACTGACTGCTGTTATATGGTAGCTCAGTCATATCTGACCAAGTTAACAGAGAGCAGGCTATACCAACTGCTAGTATAGTGTAGCTTATGCATATCTGACCAAGTTAACAGAGAATAAGAAGTACTGACTGCTGTTATATGGTTTCTCAGTCATATCTGACCAAGTTAACAGAGAATAGGTAGTACTGATGCTGTTATATGGTAGCTCAGTCATATCTGACCAGGTTAACAGAGAATAAGAAGTACTGACTGCTGTTATATGGTAGCTCAGTCATATCTGACCAGGTTAACAGAGAATAAGAAGTACTGACTGCTGTTATAGTATAGCTCAGTCATATCTGACCAGGTTAACAGAGAATAAGAAGTACTGACTGCTGTTATAGTATAGCTCAGTCATATCTGACCAGGTTAACAGAGAATAAGAAGTACTGACTGCTGTTATAGTATAGCTCAGTCATATCTGACCAGGTTAACAGAGTGCCGGCCATACCAAAAGCTGTTATAGTGTAGCTCAGTCATATCTGACCAAGTTAACAGAGAATAGGTAGTACTGACTGCTGTTATATGGTAGCTCAGTCATATCTGACCAAGTTAACAGAGAATAGGTAGTACTGACTGCTGTTATATGGTAGCTCAGTCATATCTGACCAAGTTAACAGAGAATAGGTAGTACTGACTGCTGTTATATGGTAGCTCAGTCATATCTGACCAAGTTAACAGAGAATAGGTAGTACTGACTGCTGTTATATGGTAGCTCAGTCATATCTGACCAAGTTAACAGAGAATAGGTAGTACTGACTGCTGTTATAGTGTAGATCAGTCATATCTGACCAAGTTAACAGAGAATAGGTAGTACTGACTGCTGTTATATGGTAGCTCAGTCATATCTGACCAAGTTAACAGAGAATAGGTAGTACTGACTGCTGTTATATGGTAGCTCAGTCATATCTGACCAGGTTAACAGAGTGCCGGCTATACCAACAGCTGTTATAGTGTAGCTCAGTCCTAGGTGACCAAATTAACAAACAGGAGTACTGACTGCTGTTATAGTGTAGCTCAGTCCTAGGTGACCAAATTAACAGAGAACAGGAGTACTGACTGCTGTTATAGTGTAGCTCAGTCTTAGGTGACTAAATTAACAGAGAACAGGAGTACTGACTGCTGTTATAGTGTAGCTTAGTCCTATCTGACCAAGTTAACAGAGAACAGGAGTACTGACAGCTGTTATAGTGTAGCTTAGTCCTAGGTGACCAAATTAACAGAGAACAAGAGTACTGACTGCTGTTATAGTGTAGCTTAGTCCTAGGTGACCAAATTAACAGAGAACAGGAGTACTGACTGCTGTTATAGTGTAGCTTAGTCCTAGGTGACCAAATTAACAGAGAACAGGAGTACTGACTGCTGTTATAGTGTAGCTCAGTCATAGGTGATCAAGTTAACAGAGAATAGGTAGTACAGACTGCTGTTACACGGTAGCTCAGTCGTATCTGACCAAGTTATCAGAGAACAGTACCAACTACTGCTATAGTGTATGTCAGTCATATCTGACCAAGACTTGACCCTGAATATACTTGTTACTGTTTCAGTATTATGCCTACTTGTACAGTTATGTTATGCCACAAGCCATACGTGACAAAGTGGATGAGTACATGAACTGTGAGGACATTGCCATGAACTTCCTGGTGGCACACATCACTCGCCGACCACCTGTCAAGGTATTTACTGTGTTTCTGTCTATGTGGTCTTGTTGAAATAGTGACCAGTGACGAATACGTCTGGGAAAGGGGTGTCTGCCTTGGATGTTATCTAATTCACTACCACCTGACCCTGTCAGTGGTGGATTATGGCCTGGAACTGCTTACCGTCTCAAAGAGTCAGATGGACAAACTAGAGCGCATACAGAACGCGGCTATGCGGGTCATTCTGGGTTGCACCAGAGATACCCCAGTGGTGTGTATGCGATACATCCTTGGTTTGCCGACGGTTGCAGGTAGGCACAAGGTGATGCAGGCGAAGTCATATCTCAGGGTAGCTGCAGACACAGACCACCCTCTGCATGAAGCTCTGGGTGCAGTTAAGGGTCAGCGGCTGATAAGAGGGAGGTCATGGATAGCTAGGGCAGAAGACACAATCAGACAGGTTTGCATCCTTGAGAACATTAGGCGAGGCGAGGAGTGGGTCAAAGTGCCACCTAAGCAGTCAGACTTGTGTAGAGTCATAATCACACTGAGCCGGAAATGGAGAGACTGGCCAGCAGGTGCCACAGAGGTGGAAATTCAGCAATTAATTCAAGATAATGCTCGCTCAGAGGATTTGATCATTTACACAAACGGTTCAGTGTCAAGAGGCAGAAGAAGTGCTTGGGGCTTTTTAGCAAAAGTTGATGGTCGACGTTTGGTGCAGGAGAGCCTAGCATATGATACGACAACATCCAGCTTAAGAATGGAGGTGGAGGCGGTCACTGCAGCTTTCCGCTGGCTAGAGAACACGACACACACAAACATTGTAATTGTAACTGATTCAGAAAGCATGCTGAGGAAGATCAGAACAGGTATGCTTCGTGTAGAGTGGCATGCTTCGCTGCGGAGGACACCAGTGAGGAGTATTGTGTGGATTTTTTCACCGGGTAACGCCGGTGTGTTGGGAAATGAACAGGCGGACAGACTGGCTGGCTCTGCACAACTTGGTGGAATACTGCTACATGATAGGGCAGACGTGGTTAGTGCCTTGTGGGAGAGCGTGTACAATGCAGAGGAGCAGATGGATCACCACAGTCTGGTGAGATTGATGCAGCTGGGGGTGACGAGAGGTTCTGGCAGATGCTCAAGGCTCAGAGGAAAGGCAAGACGGACATTTAATCAGAAAGCTACTGGCACCATTATTATGGGAACTCTTCGCTGGCTGCTGAAGATGGGGACGGTGCGCTTATGGGAATGCCCCGAGTGCTGTGATGTCGGTTCTTGAATCAAATCAAATAAAAATCAAATCATTACCAGCGCAGGACTGGAACATTGACATAAACTGTTTCTTTCTTCTTTTGTTGGCTTGAAATAGATTGTCAGTGTCTGCTTTGTTGTCTTTTGATCTTCTGGTTGACATTTCAGCTCTATGTGTGTTCCAGGGACCTTTTTTGCCCAGCGAAGAAGGGGGGGGGGGTGCGGGAGGGTAATGTGTCTTATAGACAGTATCAATTCTTGAGCTCATAAACAGTGTTGTTTGTCAAAAATGGAAATACACCTTCTCAGCGACTTACAACCATCCACACTTACTACCACACACAAAAAATGAATATGAATAGTAAATAAAGAAATATAACGAACAAACAAACTTTATTTTTAAAGGGTCACAAACTACGTTGGCAGGGTTAAAAAATTCCCGGAACTTATGCAATAGAGTACATATTATATGTTTTCTCATTACATGCTATAACTATACATGTGTACATTGAATTTGTGTGTATAGTTTTTTTGGGGGGTCCAATTTTTATAATCCTTTGAAAATAGTGTTGAAAAATTTGAATTCATCCTCTTGACCTGTTAGTCAGAACAAAACTCAGTCATAAGTCGAGGAGACCCTGTACTTTGGCCCTATTAAACATTAAAATAGTTTGGAAAGAGGCATTGGAGGCCAAGAACCAGGGAACCAGACCACCAAGGTTCACTGGGAAGACAACATTCGACAATCCCTGACTGAGGACTGGAATGGAACAAAGCCAAAAATAAAACCACAGATAGAGAAGACTGGGGATCTATTTGGCAGACCTCTACATCCCAAAGATTGATGAAGTCAGTTAAGTATGGTTTGGGGAGAACCGTACTGGAAAATATGATTTTTGAAGAAAAAGCAGGGGTCAAACAGCACAACATTAGACACAGGATGGCAAGGACACCAAAGTTATGAAAACTCACAAGTGGGGAAAGTTTCTATGGAACTGAGTGCCTTTCTGGCATGCCATGCTCAGGTTCTTCAAGGGACCACCTACAATAGGATAAACATCACAGAATCCACATCTTGTCATTTTTCCAGCACACAATATAAAACAGCCCTTTATTGTAACTTTTATTTCTCTTACAGGTGACCTCAAGGTGGACGTTCCGCTGCCCTGGCTGTCCAACCACTCTTTCCAGTAACTCCAGCCATTTTGAGGAACGGCATCAGTGCATTAACTTCTTCTCTCAGGTCTATGGCTATACACCTTTGTTTTACACTCAGTACAGGGTTGACTCTGTACTCTTCAAGACGAGAATCGCACATGACAAAACAAAGTGTTTCAAATATATCTAATGTCAGCTTGTTCTTTCATGGTGTCACATGCTTTATTGGCTGTTGAACATGTTTTCATGTATTTAAATGTCACAAGTTTTCATGGATTCAGTTGTCACATATATTCATGGACATAATTTTAAGAACTGTATGTACATTTTGAACATGTACACATTCTCAGATTTGTACATGTTCTCAGATATCTGTGTTTAAAGAGGGTGATTATAGCTACTCTATTGTTGTCTTCACTGGAATTGTCGGATACCTTTGCCCTTCGAAGGACTGTAAGCACGTTATGTGTTTACAGCCCGGCTGAGATATCTACAACAATCTGCCCAAAACATCAGATGTGTCCGTCTGTTACTGCCATGCTTGTTAGGGCACTGTGGGTCTGTTTTTTGTGTGTGTGGCCTCCCAAAATAGGGCCTGTGAAATCACTGGAGGATTTGCCAGATAGAGACAGAGAACTTGTGAAATAGCAAAGGGAAGGCTGTGAGGTCACTGCCTTGGTTTTCTGGGCTTTAACTTTTAGATAAAGCTTGGAGGAGTAGATGAAGGAAACCTTATACAAAGGGACAATGTGGTTGGACATAACTGACCTCTGAGGTCGGTGCATAATCAGGGGTGGTACAGTTTCACAACACTGCTTGGACTGCTGTATGTTTTATGTACATGTCTGCGGCTGGGTGTGGTGATAAAGCATACTAGACTGTTTTATGTACATTTCTGCGGCTGAGTGTGGTGATAAAGCATACTAGACTGTTTTATGTACATGTCTGCGGCTGGGTGTGGTGATAAAGCATACTAGACTGTTTTATGTACATGTCTGCGGCTGGGTGTGGTGATAAAGCATACTAGACTGTTTTATGTACATGTCTGCGGCTGGGTGTGCTGATGAAGCATACTAGACTGTTTTATGTACATGTCTGCGGCTGGGTGTGGTGATGAAGCATACTAGACTGTTTTATGTACATGTCTGCGGCTGGGTGTGGTGATAAAGCATACTAGACTTTTATCTACATGTCTGCGGCTGGGTGTGGTAATAAAGCATACTAGACTGTTTTATGTACATGTCTGCGGCTGGGTGTGGTGATAAAGCATACCTGACTGTTTTATGTACATGTCTGCGGCTGGGTGTGCTGATGAAGCATACTAGACTGTTTTGTGTACAGGTCTGCGGTTGGGTGTGGTGATAAAGCATACTAGACTGTTTTATTTATTTACACTTGTGTTAGTGTTTACATTTTGATTGAGCGAGCAAGAGAGAGAGAAGATAGAGAGGTTGTGCTGTCTCTACCTTGTGTGTTGATCACTGACTGTAAGAGGAAGAAATGAATTTCAAACATCTACTACATGCATACAGTAATGATAGTGGTTTGGTAGTAATGGGGAATCCCAGTGTGGAACTGATGAAGTGTTAATCTTCCAGAAAATAAATATCTCTTGGTTGATCAGTTTGAAAGAAATGCACACAGACAAATAAAGTCAAATGAACACATGTACACAAAATTCAAGATAGCTGTATCAGCCATGTGCACCTGTGGAAATGTGCCCCAGACAGCAGAGCATGTACTCCAGCAGAGCATGTACTCCAGCAGAGCATGTACTCCAGGACTGAACCAAATTTGACACATTAAGGCAAACCTTTTGGCCAGAAAGAACAACAGTGGAACGTAAACTCTATGGACCACTGAATGAACTAACAACTACAGTGAAATTTATACAAGAGACAAAATTGCTGACATAGACAACTTATTTCAGGTGAACGAAAGAAGAAGAAGAAGAATTAAAGTAAGTACATGGTTTTATTTTAATTTTGTGACAGAAGATCACGGAGGCCATCTTGATTTTTTTTTGTTTCTATTGGGACGAAAACATGAGGATTCTACAATGATCACTGCCATGTTGAAATGTGTAGTGCCTTTATATTGACTACTGTAGTGCATTGTAAGTAACCATCTGTTTTTCTGATACTGTTACAATGTGTTTTATTTCATCTGATTATGAACCATGTAGTCATATCTTTGCTTGTTGAAATATCAGTTCTTTGTGACCATTACTTTTCTGCTGTTTGGTGTTGGTGATCGTTACTCTTCTATGTGACTGTTACTTTTCTGCTGACTGGTGTTGATGATTGTTACTCTTCTATGTGACTGTTACTCTTCTGCTGACTGGTGTTGATGATCGTTACTCTTCTATGTGACTGTTACTCTTCTATGTGACTGTTACTCTTCTATGTGACTGTTACTCTTCTATGTGACTGTTACTCTTCTATGTGACTGTTACTCTTCTATGTGACTGTTACTCTTCTATGTGACTGTTACTCTTCTGCTGACTGGTGTTGGTGATCGTTACTCTGCTATGTGACTGTTACTCTTCTGCTGACTGGTGTTGATGATCGTTACTCTGCTATGTGACTGTTACTCTTCTATGTGACTGTTACTCTTCTGCTGACTGGTGTTGGTGATCGTTACTCTGCTATGTGACTGTTACTCTTCTATGTGACTGTTACTCTTCTGCTGACTGGTGTTGGTGATCGTTACTCTGCTATGTGACTGTTACTCTTCTATGTGACTGTTACTCTTCTGCTGACTGGTGTTGATGATCGTTACTCTACTATGTGACTGTTACTCTTCTGCTGACTGGTGTTGGTGATCGTTACTCTTCTATGTGACTGTTACTCTTCTGCTGACTGGTGTTGGTGATCGTTACTTTTCTATTGGTGATCGTTACTTTTCTATGTGATTGTTTCTCTTCTGCTGACTGGTGTTGGTGATCGTTACTTTTCTATGTGACTGTTTCTCTTCTGCTGACTGGTGTTGGTGATCGTTACTTTTCTATGTGATTGTTTCTCTTCTGCTGACTGGTGTTGGTGATCGTTACTTTTCTATGTGATTGTTTCTCTTCTGCTGACTGGTGTTGATGATCGTTACTCTTCTACGTGACTGTTACTCTTCTGCTGACTGGTGTTGATGATCGTTACTCTTCTATGTGACTGTTACTCTTCTGCTGACTGGTGTTGATGATCGTTACTCTTCTATGTGATTGTTTCTCTTCTGCTGACTGGTGTTGATGATCGTTACTCTTCTATGTGACTGTTACTCTTCTGATGACTGGTGTTGGTGATCGTTACTCTTCTATGTGACTGTTTCTCTTCTGCTGACTGGTGTTGGTGATCGTTACTCTTCTATGTGACTGTTACTCTTCTGCTGACTGGTGTTGGTGATCGTTACTCTTCTATGTGACTGTTTCTCTTCTGCTGACTGGTGTTGGTGATCGTTACTCTGCTATGTGATTGTTTCTCTTCTGCTGACTGGTGTTGATGATCGTTACTCTTCTATGTGACTGTTTCTCTTCTGCTGACTGGTGTTGATGATCGTTACTCTTCTATGTGACTGTTACTCTTCTATGTGACTGTTACTCTTCTGCTGACTGGTGTTGGTGATCGTTACTCTTCTATGTGACTGTTACTCTTCTGCTGACTGGTGTTGATGATCGTTACTCTTCTATGTGACTGTTACTCTTTTGCTGACTGGTGTTGATGATCGTTACTCTTCTATGTGACTGTTACTCTTCTGCTGACTGGTGTTGGTAATTATGACCGTTCATAACACAGTTTGCTATGATATTTATTATTTCTTGAATAATAAGATCATACAGTTGACATATATATATATGTATATTTATATATTCATGAAATCATGTGAAAGAGAAAACATTTATAATGTAATTATGATTGTAAAAACTGTATCTATAAAATAGTTAATAATGAAGAGTCATGTGAAATAGAAACTCGTACATTTGTAGTACATATAGTATGTTATTGTTGTTTGTGTGTTATTAGCCTCGTAAAAGATGTACACATGTCATTCTGCTGTGCCATGTACAAGTGTCCTCTCTCTGGGCTGCTACTGGAAGATTTGAGACCCAGAGATTACAGAATCTCATTCCGCATTGCAATCCAACAGGGTATATCCCAGATAGCCTAGCTGTTCAACCACCAAAGAAGTTCTGTAGTGACCTGCAGTCTTGTGTGGATAAGAGCGACTGAGCCTAGCTGTTCAACCATCAAAGAAGTTCTGTAGTGACCTGCAGTCCTGTGTGGATAAGAGCGACTGAGTTCAACCGTCAAAGAAGTTCTGTAGTGACCTGCAGTCTTGTGTGGATAAGAGCGACTGAGCCTAGCTGTTCAACCATCAAAGAAGTTCTGTAGTGACCTGCAGTCCTGTGTGGATAAGAGCGACTGAGCCTAGCTGTTCAACCATCAAAGAAGTTCTGTAGTGACCTGCAGTCCTGTGTGGATAAGAGTGACTGAGCCTAGCTGTTCAACCATCAAAGAAGTTCTGTAGTTACCTGCAGTCCTGTGTGGATAAGAGCGACTGAGCCTAGCTGTTCAACCATCAAAGAAGTTCTGTAGTCACCCGCGGTCCTGTGTGGATAAGAGCGACTGAGCCTAGCTGTTCAACCACCAAAGAAGTTCTGTAGTTACCTGCAGTCCTGTGTGGATAAGAGCGACTGAGCCTAGCTGTTCAACCACCAAAGAAGTTCTGTAGTTACCTGCAGCCCTGTGTGGATAAGAGCGACTGAGCCTAGCTGTTCAACCATCAAAGAAGTTCTGTAGTGACCTGCAGTCCTATGTGGATAAGAGCGACTGAGACATTCATGAAATCATCTGTACTAGGAGACTGGCCAGCAACAGCTGAATTGTGGATGGGCTTGTGTGCCAAATAATACAAAGAAATATGTTTTGAAAATAAAGTTTATTTAGTGGTATTGTTTCTGAATGCAGGGGTCATATAGAGGACTCTTGTCTACATTCCTGGGAGAAATTTAGGCTGTTAGGTTGCCCCTCTTCTATGTCTGGTGTGCGTAGAAGTGGACAGGCAACAGTTCTTTCATTCAGCTTATCTCTGTTTAAATAATGCAGACACAAACAATACTTCGCAGTTTATTGCCTGGCATATTTCCTTGTTATCTTGTCAGGTGCATTACTACAGAGTTATATTAAATATAATGATGCA